AGCTCCTTGGTTTTGCTGACGTTGAGATGGAGGTTGTTGTCCTGGCACCAATATGTCAGGTTTTCGACCTCTCTGTACGCCGTTTCGTCGCCGTCTGTGATCTAGCCGATGACGGTCGTGTCGCCAGCAAACTTCACGATGGTGTTAGAGCTGTGTGTGGCCACGCAGGCGTGAGTGAACAAGGAGTAGAGGAGAGGGCTGAGCATGCAGCCTTGAGGGGCTCCGGTGTTGAGGATCAGCTAGAATGGGTGTCAATGATAGCTACATCAAAGGAAGAGGCTAGACGGTCCAAACCTGGTACACATGAGAGAAGAAAGGAGACCATTACACACACCAAATGTGTGTGTAATGGTCGTTCAGGAGTTATATTAGGATCTTATAACCCTTAACCCCTAACCCTAAAACATGAAAAGTCTTAATGTATAAGTGGAAAAGCCGGATTTGTAAGCTGACAAATCCGGCTTTTCCACCCCAAAACACTGACAAGACTTTTTTCATAAAGGTTTTACACAGAAGTTATATAGAATAAGGTCACGTTTTTAACCTAAGCTTTATATTCCAAATATGAATAGAGTATAGGGCTGACCGATCAATTGATTTTAAATCGAAATCGCAATTTAAAATGATGCAATTATTAAATCGCAAAGCCTGCGATCTTTTTTTGTTTTTTTGTTTGTTTTTTGTTCTTCTTGTGTGTCAGTCCTCCACACCAATCAGAAGTGCTGTGCTCCACATGTCCCAGCCATTGTTAACCAATCAGAAGTGCTGTGCTCCACATGTCCCAGCCATTGTTAACCAATCAGAAGTGCTGTGTTCCACATGTCCCAGCCATTGTTAACCAATCAGAAGTGCTGTGCTCCACATGTCCCAGCCATTGTTAACCAATCAGAAGTGCTGTGCTCCACATGTACCAGCCATTGTTAACCAATCAGAAGTGCTGTGCTCCACATGTACCAGCCATTGTTAATCAGAAGTGATAGCAGGTGACAGACAGATTGATCCAATCACCTCCAAGTATTTTTGAAATACTTTTCCAAATGGCTTCCAATGGAGCTTTAGATGCTTTCTGAGTCAGGTTAGTAACGCTCCATCACATGTTTCTATTACAGGGTGAATCTGAAACTGAAGCTCGACTTTAAAGCAACCCAACAGAAGTTTCATGTAAGTTCAGTTCTTTCACTCGTAGCTCGGGCTGCGGGGTGCTAGAGACAGGAGCACGTTGATACGACCTTCCTAGCCGGAGACATGGCCGCATTTTACAATAAACTTCCGCTGGGTAGCTTAAAAACAAATATCGCAAATCGAATCGCAATATCTGTCAGAAAAATTGCAATTACATTATTTCCCCAAATCGTGCGGCCCTAAGTGTAATCTGGACAAACACAGTTTAGCTGTTAGCTTAATGTAAAACAAATGGATATGGGTGCCTTTCAATTGGATATTGAATAAGCATCTTTTCTCCCTGGTTTGTAAAGAAATGTTTGTTATCGATATTTGTTATATTCAAACCATGATCAGAGGTTCGACCCATCTTATAATCCATTCAGGAGCTTTTGATTCAAACTGAAAGGATGACCTTGAAGTCGCGCTGTAAGCAGATGGAGCTTTGAGAGAAAGATGAATTTAGCATCCTTGTGTTTGAGTAATTCCTTCAGTGGAATCCTCTGATCCTATCCTTTATTTACCCAAAGAAGTGCTTCAAAGCCACACATGCAAGAGGTGTTATGACCCGGGAGCTAAAGGTAAAGTACAATTAAGATACTTTATTTGCACAAAAAAGTAACAAAAGAAGATCGCTCTTAAGAGATGACAAAAAAGGTTTGAGCAAGGCGAAACAGAAAATCACTCACAACGTGAGGAACTAAAGTTATAATAAGTTTCAGGAGCTTTGATAGGCTTTGAATCAAAGCGAGCTGAAGAGCATAGCTCTGTCGTGAGGACAAGATGAACTGATGCTGGGAGACTGGGGAATTTAAACACTCAACAACAAGACACAGGTGAACACAATCAGGGGCGGGGCTATACTGATGAGGGCGGGAGAACACATGAGGAAAGGGAGTCAAGGGACCTGAGATGAGACGTGACAAAACAAAACGGGAAGTGAAAAACAATACAACATAAACATGAAACATGATTGACTAGCACTTTTGACGGTTCACAACAAGAGGTCCTCTATGGGAGGTTCAGAGTTGCTTTGTACTTTTAATTAAGTCATTTAATGCATTTGAACTATTAAAGTTTATTTCCCCACGTTTGAAAGAGTTTGTGAGAGTTAAGGATTTGCTCGTGCAAGGTTTAGAGAGTTTGATGCAATAACATACCATGGAAGGTCAAAAAGACACATTTTTAAAAAGCTTATATCCACCTTTAAAACTGTTTTTATTCGAAATCTTAAAGAAATATCTTAGTAACTACGTCTGCGTTATGCAGAGTAACAGGGACAACAGTTTTGCAAGGACACTCTGGGGAGACCTCCTCACGAGAAGATTCCTCAAAGATTGTTCAGAATAAAGTAGGTCTAATGAAAACAGTTTTAAAGACGGCCTGAAGACCTTGTTCCAGCTGGATCTGATTACATAAAACATCACAAAGAGAAGCGAAATAACTCTTGCCCTGAATCACAAGTTTTGTGAAAGTAAACACTCGATAACTTCTTAAAAAATGTCCTTCCCCCATCTCTTCATATATTTTGAATGTTCAGTATCAATAATGTGCATGAGGGAAGTTTTAAAATGACGGCAGCTCTGCAGGCCTTGAAACCTGCTGCAAGGAGCTGAAGCTCACGAAATGCGAATGTGTCTGCAGCGAGAGCACGACACACACACACACACACACACACACACACACACACACACACACACACACCATACACACACACAGATTGTGAAGGCTAAGTGACCTGCATGCTCTCAGTTTTGGATGACATAAGTACCGGAGCAGCCTTGGGTTCTTCACCGAACCTGAACACACTCATATGGTCATCCATTATTAGACCCTCAGGTGTATCTCTGAACACACACAGCTCACATCAGCCAGGATAAAGGCCTCTATTAGGAGAGTGAATAATACGGACGGAGGGGAGGTGACCTCGGGACTGAAGCTGACACCTGATTGGCTGTTAGTATCCGTGCTGGGGGGATCTGGAGGTTGACGGATGCTTGAAACTCAGCCGTTTCAGTCCTGTGATCTAATCTGTTACCCATCATGCATCCTGCCTCTCTAATGAAAAGGCAAGGTCCCATTTGTCACAGGCATGATGGCAAATGGAGTTTTAACCCCACACACACTCACCCACACTCACACCCACACACACACTCACACACACTTATACTGAACGAGGCTCCTCAGGCACAAACGCCTGCAAACATGTGCACAAGGGCCTGCATGATGGACGGTCATTGCAAAAGACCCCAGAGCATCGGAATATTAATATCAAGAGGAGGAAGAAGAAGAAGAGATCTGTGACGACTCGCTCCTCTGCTCTCCGTCACTTTACAGAGAATCTGTTTCTGTGTACCAACATTGGAATAATGTTAATATGTTGTCAGCTAACGGATGCGTGACGTCCTTATTTATCTATTTCCTGGCCTCGAAAAACTAAATATTGATAAATCGAAAAAACAAAAAGTCACAAATGAAATAGAGAGTTGAATTCTGCTTGTTTGACTGCAAACAATGCTGGCTTGATGTATTGTGTGTTTCAGAACAAGCACACAATATGCTTCTTATGTTATAACAGCTCACATATTGTGTAACACTTTATATAAAACGTAACCCTAACCCTAATCTTTGCCATTGATGCATAGGGCTTTTCATTTCTCCCGTAATCCTTCTGACAAACAAATCAACTTTTGCTTAACATAACGTCCTTGGTGGAGGCAAAGAATTGAAAATGAAAAGTGTGATTATTAGGCGTGGATATCACCTGACAAATGTCCAACTAGAGCCTTTCTTAATTGGACTTTGGCCACTTCATTAATACCATTGTGAGCTAGTGTCTGTTGACCATCTCTGGTTCATGGGTTCATATCATAACTTAGTTTGATTATATTAGTATCTATTTTTAAAGGCTGTGTCATAACATTTCCAAAAGTCCCAGCATGCCTCAGGCTCCAATGTGTATCAATCAATCAACAACTTTATTAATCCTGCAAGGGGCAATTGGTTATGAGCAGCAGCTTATGTCATGAACACAGGCAGGAACATACAAGAAGAAAACACACAGATACACCCGGGAGCACAGATGTGGATCATTCCAATTTACACTATAAATAGTTCAAAGCATCACAATAATAAATAAATAAATAATCAAGTTAAAAGCCTTTTCAAGAATTTAAAAGTTTGAGTGCAGAAGGGATGAATGATTTAGAAAAGCGATTAGTCCTTTGAGCAGGTAGAGCATATCTTCGCCCTGATGGCAACAGACGAGATTCATGTGAAAGTACACGACCTGGAGAGTTCAGGATGCTCTCTGCTTTCCGCAGAATCTGTTGGTTACAGAAGGAATTTAAGTCTCTCTGTGTATGTGACAAGTCCAGTTTAATTCCTCATATCTCTTTTACCCATTGAATGAGCCTAATTAAGAGCTATTAACCGCTGTTCTGCTGAATCACAATGAAAGCGTTCCTTTGAAAGCGAAGAGTCTTTGGTCTTCAACTGGAGCTCAAAGTCACCTTCAGACGTGCCGCTCAAAATCCTCCCATATTTTTCCATAAAGCCTCATCCTCCCTGTGTTTGATACCCCGAGGTTCTCTGTTTCCGAGCATGAATGCAGCATTTGATGCGCCCAGCAGGGACTCTCTCGTCTCTCCTTAATGGCAAAGACAAAACATCCAGCACATTGTTGAACAGACTCGTGACATTAGGATATCCAGCGGCTGGGGGATTTCATTTGTGAGTGTTTTAGAAAAACAGGAGGCTGCAGATTAGAAGGGAAATTAGGTTAACGTCTCCTTTTCATGAATAACCCCCTCTTCTCTTCTTTCTGTCTGTTTCCTCAGGGGTTTTTCCGGCGAAGCATCCAGAAGAACATGGTGTACACGTGTCACCGGGACAAAAACTGTATCATCAACAAGGTGACGAGGAACCGCTGTCAGTACTGCCGCCTGCAGAAGTGCTTCGGAGTGGGGATGTCCAAAGAGTGTGAGTTACACACCTGACTTTCACAGTGTGCTGATATAACTTTACTTATAACTTTATTTATTTATACAGCACTTTTCAAAACAACGTCACAAAGTTCTTTACATCAGAGGTGTCAAAATCTATTTCATCGCGGGCCAAATTTTCATTAAGGTTGCACTCAAAGGGCCGCTTGTAACTTTAAGACTATATAAATATATAATGTATATAAAATAATGTATTATATGACATTATTGCCTCTGCATTGGATTATTATCGGATAGGGTAATAACTTCATAATTAACTACGTCTGAAAGCAGAAGTCTAGGGCAAATAATTACAAGTCTCTTCAGTGCGCATGTCACAAAATGAGATGCATTGTGGGACATGTAGTTTATGGACAACGTTATATGTAACCGTATAATAACCGTATTATATTCCCTCCTATCCCCACAACATTTCTTGGTAGGTTCAGCAAAAACAAAAGTTGAGTTTCTGTCAAAGTCAAGTTTTGTAATTTTGTAACTTAAAGGGGCCTTACTTAGCAGTGGCGGTTCTAGACCAATTTGACTGGGGGGGCCACTGGGGGGCCAGTTATTTTCTGAGGGGGGCACAATAAATGCAGGACGAAAAAGAGAACTAGACAGTATGAAGTAATTGCGTATAAGAAAACAATGCAATATAGTTATTGGTATTTGTTTCAGTACACTTATTTATTTCAGATAGATCTTATAGTTATTACTGTTAGCTTCAGCTTAAGTTATAGTGCAATGTTTGCACTAACACCATATTTATATAAAAATAAAGGCAATGAACAGTTACAGCTCTACTTTACATCTACAATTACACGGATATAGTTTAACTCACCTTCAATTATCGTGGTAGTCTCTCGAAACTTAGGTTTCAATCAGTCTTTCTTGGATGCAACAGCCTCTGATGATCCGAGATGAAAAGTGTTTGTTTTTCGCGTGCTTCAGCCGGACAGTGAAAGTGAGTGCACCGCTCTAATGAGTCCGACTAGAATGACGAATAACGTTAGTTCCGCCTATTCCGTCATTCAATAAATCATACATTTTTCATTTTTTTCACTTTTCATTTTTAGGGGGGCCACAAGGGGGTCAGAGGTCAGTGTTAGGCCCCCCCCCCTAGAACCGCGCCTGTTACTTAGAGGCACAAAATACAAATATCAATCTCAAAATGAGCATAACATCACACTCAACGACCACCATCTTGGCTACGTCATGCAAGTAATGCAACCAGCAGTGATTGCGGTTGCTCTAGTGAACACAGAACTAAAAAAAGTTATACAGTGTGGTGTTATGTAACGTACACTACACATTTTGAACACTGTTAAACACCGTTAAGATTTGGGTTGATTGAGCAGTTTGTAATCATTTGGTATCATAACATTTTAAGCTCTCTAACTATCCAACAGTGAACAGCCGCCATGTGCCATTTGAGACATCCTTACATGGTCGAGATTCACACACTGCTTCATTCGTGTGAGACATGCAGTGTATTAAGTATCCAAATTGAGACACTGTTGGATATCATTGGCAAAAATGGTCTCTAATCTCCTTATTAGTTTAGTAGTTTGCTTATTATACGTTGGACTACATGACCTAAGGGATAGTAAAGTGTAAGTGTGAGAAGTTACCCTTTAATATGAGTGGACAGCATTGTGTCTGTCGGATAAGATCTTATCTGTTAATGTTTTGTTATCAGTAAGGCGGGGACGATCAATCATCTTCTGAGTCACTGGAGTTGAGTTACAGGCCAGTATTTCACACAGCGAGGAGGAGTTGCATCATTCAGAACGTGTTGTCCAACATCCACGGGTGACGCTAAAACAGAACAGGATGCAGACCCTCTGTGTGGAGACAATTCTCCATTCCCATCCACAGGAACAGTTTGCATTTCACAGGTTATTGGCATCCTTTGATTGCATCAGCATTTATAGCTCAGGTCCACTTCATGCTCCATAAACCTCGGGGGGGGACCATGCCTTTCTCTTATTCTGTTTCACACCTCAGCAGAGGACTCGTGGAAAAGATGATGTCTTAATGTCCTCAGGCTAACCCCCCCACAGGGACTCTGATGGGAGAGGGGACGATTCCCTTACCTATATTCATGGAGGAGGTGATTTAATGGTATCTTCCTGATCTCAACAGAAGGAGGGGATGTTGCTTTCTCTGCAGGGGCTTCAGGGTTTCAGAGTGGTTCAACCTGGAAATAAGTCACTTCTGGTTTGCTTGTCTCGAAGTCTTTTGAATTTGTGTTAAGGCTGTACAAGGGCGTGGAATCAAATGCACGATGCAGAGACAATCAAAGTATCAAAATAAAGTGTTTTAATGTAGACGGGTCATAACACACTGAATACATAAAGCAACAAAACAAAAACTACTAATACACTAATCTAACTCTATGGACGATGACAAAAGGATCTTACGCTGAAGGCTTGGAACACATAAGACAATCTGGCAACGAGACAGGGGAAGACGAGAACTATATATGCTAGACAGACAACACCAGGTGAAGACAATTAGACAATCACAACCGTGGGAAAACAGACAAGGCAGGAAACGTACTTTAGACACATGAGGGTAGACAAGACTATCAAAATAAAACAGGAACTTATCTAAACACATAACATGAAACCTAAACTAGGGAACAATCTTAGCAGAGCCGTCTACGCACAACAATTTGCTTTTGGTTGTTGGGGAGATCTATTAATGTTTCAAGCATCAAAATGCATTTGAGAAAGGTTCATCTTACCTATAATAATTAAAATCCACTGCAAGCTTCACACATGCCCAACCATTACTTCTTTAATACAAGTGTTCACCAATTAGAAATGTCCAATCATATCCCTGAATTGTGCCAGAGGTACGGAGGCTTTTAGCTAGCCCTGTAGGCAACCAATGTATCCTCACACTGTTATGTCTTCAGAAAAGTAGTTTTTCGTGTGTTTCCTTACGTATGTTCAGGAACACGAGAGTGGCATCTGCCCCCTACTGTGCAGCATCTGATTAGGCACAACTACTTGGTTAGGGTCAGGAAAATGTTGTATTTTGAGTATCTGCGGCATGATTCGGATCTAAAAATTCAATATATTCTGCTGACAAATTGGCAGATTGTGAGATAGTTATCACTGCTGCGTCCGAATGTCTTTCAATTCAATATTTAGGTTTGATGACATAAAATGTAATCCAAGCTGCAGCTACTAGAGTCTACTGTTACTTCCATACACTTTGTTAATGGTGTGTCTACTTGGACTTCTTAACACATAATCCTAAAGGAGTAATGTAACTCTGGTATTAGGTTTAGGAACACTTCTCTTAGCTAACACTGTCCCTAGGGTTGGAGGCATCCAATATGGCCACCACAGGCTGTATAACTCCTGGGAGCCTACAGTGGTGGTTACATCATAATGAAAGTGGTGTTGAGAGCTCGGTCTGAAGATGATGATCGTGCTATCATGTGATGCTGAGATGACTAGCTGTTATACAAAGAGAGCATTGATTGATGTGTTTGTGTGTGTGTGTGTGTGTGTGTGTGTGTGTGTGTGTGTGTGTGTGTGTGTGTGTGTGTGTGTGTGTGTGTGTGTGTGTGTGTGTGTTTGTGTGTACCAGCAGGTATATGATTGCATGCATCGTTGCACAAATTGTGTCTGTATTTCTTTTAGTGGTGAACGATCATGACTGTGGTAAAGTCATGAGTACTGATTCGATCAGCACTTCCTGTCCCCTGGTCTGGAAGTCAATGGTTTTCTGGATGTGTTTTTGGTTGTTAGCCTGAAATAAGATCTCTGGTTCACACAAGCTGAAGAGATTTTAACATATGGTTCTACTACATAAAATACGTCATCACGCCCAACATTAGCCGCCTTTAGCTTAGCGGTGGTGACGTGAAGTCATGTGACCGTGCTGTAGTTCCTTTATAGCCCAACATTAGCCACCTTTAGCTTAGCGGTGGTGACGTGAAGTCACGTGACCGTGCTGTAGTTCCTTTATAGCCCAACATTAGCCACCTTTAGCTTAGCGGTGGTGACGTGAAGTCACGTGACCGTGCTGTAGTTCCTTTATAGCCCAACATTAGCCTCCTTTAGCTTAGCGGTGGTGACGTGAAGTCATGTGACCGTGCTGTAGTTCCTTTATAGCCCAACATTAGCCGCCTTTAGCTTAGCGGTGGTGACGTGAAGTCATGTGACCGTGCTGTAGTTCCTTTATAGCCCAACATTAGCCGCCTTTAGCTTAGCGGTGGTGACGTGAAGTCATGTGACCGTGCTGCAGTTCCTTTATAGCCCAACATTAGCCGCCTTTAGCTTAGCGGTGGTGACGTGAAGTCATGTGACCGTGCTGTAGTTTCTTTATAGCCCAACATTAGCCACCTTTAGCTTAGCGGTGGTGACGTGAAGTCATGTGACCGTGCTGTAGTTCCTTTATAGCCCAACATTAGCCGTCTTTAGCTTAGCGGTGGTGACGTGAAGTCATGTGACCGTGCTGCAGTTCCTTTATAGCCCAACATTAGCCGCCTTTAGCTTAGCGGTGGTGACGTGAAGTCATGTGACCGTGCTGTAGTTCCTCTATAGCACAACATTAGCTGTCTTTAGATTAGCGGTGGTGACGTGAAGTCATGTGACCGTGCTGTAGTTCCTTTATAGCCCAACATTAGCCGTCTTTAGCTTAGCGGTGGTGACGTGAAGTCATGTGACCGTGCTGTAGTTCCTTTATAGCCCAACATTAGCCGTCTTTAGATTAGCGGTGGTGACGTGAAGTCATGTGACCGTGCTGTAGTTCCTCTATAGCACAACATTAGCCGTCTTTAGATTAGCGGTGGTGACGTGAAGTCATGTGACCGTGCTGTAGTTCCTTTATAGCCCAACATTAGCCGTCTTTAGCTTAGCGGTGGTGACGTGAAGTCATGTGACCGTGCTGTAGTTCCTTTATAGCCCAACATTAGCTTTTTACTTCAGAAATCATAAAGTGGTTTTAATATGTGGAGATTATCCTGCTGAACTAAAC